ACCTTGGCACTTCAAGCCTGTATACATCGCTTCTTCACTTATTTTTATTCTTCTCTTTATCTAAATACTCCTTTGCAATTCATCACAGAAATGGTTACCCTAAGTATGCAGTTAAGGCTCTTATTTATACCTCTATTTCTGTAATGCTGCCAGTTCCAGCACTTCACTGACTGAAAATGTTGCCCATTCACTGCTTATTGCAGTTTTGTACCAAAGGGTAGAATACAAAGAATGGTTGTATACCACATGATTTTCAGTAGTCCACACAGGAGTATTTAACACTATGTTTACTTTTTAAAATGTTAGGGGGCAAAAAGAAAAAAAAGTTAACAGCAAATAAGCATTAGATTTTTTTTCTTTTTGCTGGCACTGGGCAGTTGAACTCAGGGCTTTGAACTTGGCAGGCAGACATTCTATCTACCACTTCAGCCACTCCACCAGCCCAGTAAATTTTTACTTTGAATGTGCTTAATTAACAGATGGTAAATTGAAGCTGAAGTGGTCACACTTCTAATCCCAGCATTTAGGAGACTGAGACAGGATAATCATGAATTTTAATCAATCCTGGGTTGTAGAGCAAGACCCTGCCTCAACAAAGATAGTACACGGAATTAAAGAAAAATATGAAATAATGGACTGTGAAGATAAACAAAACTTGTTAATAATTTCAGTTTGGGAAATATAGGCCATGGGAAACTTATGTAGTTAATCACTCAGGACTTTGGGTCAATGATCTAAATTTCACTTCTACTACTTACTAGCTAAGTGACTTAAAGTTCTCTAATAGTGTAACGTAAAAAAAAAGAAGAAGAAAAAAGAAAAACAAAGAGAAAAAAAAGAAAAAATAGTGTAATGCAGATAAAATAATCCACCTCCTAGATTTATTACAGTATGGATTTAAAGAGCTAATCCCCCAAAATATTCATAGCTCAATGCTAGAGCACTTACATAGTATGGGCAAGGCCCTGAGTTTGATGATCCTCAGCAGGAGGGATAGTGAAAAAGATCCTCAGAACTGGGCATGGTGGCACAGGCTTGAAATCCCAGCACTTGGTGGTGGGCATGGGGGTGGAGGGTGGTTAAGGCAGGAGGATCATGAGTTTGAGGCAAGCCTGGACTACGTGAGATCCCGTATCAAAAAAAAAAAAAAAAAAAAAAACAAAATTTGTAAGTGTATTTTGTCTTTTAGCCACTGATCTTCTAGTTTATTCACTTGCAGTAAATTGGACAATCAATTCATATTATAGGTATTTTTCAATACCATATTTCCTTCACCTTTTTACACCCCCTTGTTTCATCTTCTGGTATGAATAGAAAAACTTCAAGATAACTTTTCTTAGGGGGAGGGGTGCTGGAGGGCAGTGCTGGGGATTGAATCCATACCTTCGTAAAACACGAGGCAAGCGCTCTACCCAGCCCTATGACAATATTCACTATTAACCCTTAAGACTGACTATCTTGGTAGTGAGAACCAAGAAGCCATATTTCTCTGATGCTGTGGGCCTTGCAAAATTACAAGAATCTTTAATGCTTGAAAAAAAATCTAAAAATTAAGGAACATTTAATGTAAATAAATCTCGTGGTGTATATTATATAAAAATAAACTCTTTAAGTACTAGCTAAGATACTATACTAATCAGCAAATGATAGAATGCTCCTTTGCTCAAATATTAGTCATCAGTTAACCTTAACTGTGGATCTATTCTTGTGTTTCCCACCCTTAATCACTCAATAATATTTAATAAACTCTATACATACCAACCACCATACAAGATGATGAGGACATGGAAACAGTCTAGTAAAGAAAAATAAAAAAATGTAGAAACTCAGGAGGGTAGAACAAAAAATTACTAGAGAGTATGCTAAATAATACCCAGTAGTTAAAAAAAACCCAAAAAACCTAAACATGATCCATGAATGCTGATTATACCGTCTGCTTTAATTTTGAGCACCTAGCAGCACCACACAAGGTGAGCACATCACACTGGCAGTAATAATTTCAGACTTTCAGGTAGTATATACCAACTATGTCTGTAAAGGAGACTAAAGTACCCTGTACCCTGCTGAAACTCAGTAACAGCTCATATTTGATTGGCTTTGCTGCAAATATGAGCAGACACAAGCCCCAAAGCATGGCTCGCATTCTGTTAATCTAGAGCAAAATTAAGGATCAGAAGTATAACTGGCTATATATATTTTTTAATACTTGGCTTTTCTTGGGGAAAAACACAATAGAAAATCTACTGAAGTTATTCTTTATAGAATATTTGGCTCTAGAAAGATGTTCTGACAGCACATCAATAGTGTTGTTGAGGAATTTAAAATACTATGACTCAGAAAACTAACATTAACTCTCAGACTTCTACACAACAATGAACATAGACTGAAATAAGTTTTCATTGTTATTCAATTCAGAAAGCAGCAAGTCTTGCTTTACTGAAAGTATGTTAGTCCTAACTCAGTCAGATGAAACTTCTGGGTCTCCTTTACTGTAATACAGTCCTGTACAAATTTATTTCTTACCAATGATCACTCCTTGGTGATCATAGTGTGACATAAACAGCATAAAAACACAACTGAAGTCAGGCACCAATGGCTCACGCCTGCAATCCTAGCTACTCAGGGGACAGCCTGGGCAAAAAAAAAAAAAAAACAAAACATAACAACAACAAAAAAAGGGCCGGTGGAGTGGCTCAAGGTGTAGGCCCTGAGTTCAAGCTCCACTACCATCAAAAAAAAAAAAAAAAAAAAAAAAAGCACACAACTGAAGCAGTGTTGGTGGGGGAGCTCAGAAACATAATCTTCAAAGATATATTACCCATAATGTGGGGGTAGAAGGCAGAAATACTGCATTTTCCCTTTGAAACTGACTGCAGGGATATTGGCTGTAAAGCATGAAGAAATCTTTAAGAAATAAAACCCAGTATATAAATATACACGTAAATAAGATTCATACCTTCTGAGAATTCACAGATTACCTACTGCTTAGAAGTGTTTTCATCTACCAATATTCTGCCCTTCTTCCTTCATTATCAGCTGGCCTTTTACTAAGTAATAAGCACTATAAGCACTTTACATACAGTATCTTTTTAGATTCTACAGCCAGCCTTTGAGGTGTCATTGTCACACCCATTTTTCAGATAAGGGAATATTCTAGAAATAATACCTTAAAAAATTTAAAATTATATAGTAATACAGAGTGAAATTATTTGTAAAAACTTAGCTGGCTGTTAAATAGCAAAGGACACAAAAAATTTAGCTTCTACCTTATCCACAAAGTAGATATAACCCATTTTTACACCTTGCAACACTGTAACCTTCCCATGCAACAATGTTCACATACTGAAGTCAAGCTAAAGAAAATCTACAATAGTGTTGTACCGGGTTTTAGTTACTGTGGATAATAAAACGAAAAGGAACAAGGACGCAGTTTGATAGTTTAGAGCATCCCGTATGGGTTTCCAACAGTTTGGATTTAAATCTCTTTACCAATAACTGCTGTTTGACCTTGGTCAAATTTCTTTAATCTCTCAGCTATCATCTCATACGAAAAATAAGGGCACCTCAAAGATTTGCAGAAATAAAAAAAGATAATGTATAGCAAGGGCTCGTTACTGTGCTCAGTACACAGTAGAAGGTTAATTAACGGTGGAGGGAGAACAGTCACACATATATACTCATCGAACCCCCACCCTAAACCTTTTTAAAAAGCCTATATTCTGAAAATTACATTCCAGAAAGGGAGAGAATTACTATTTGACTACACGCAAATCCAATCTACTTCTAATTTTTCGGAGGATCAATGCATTTGGGGTGAGCCGGAAAAGATGCTGCAGTGCATCTGTGACACACACCTAAAAATGGCTCCAGTGAAAGCAGCATCTTTATCACCAACATCGGAGGTTAAATCTACTTTTTTTTAAATGCTGAAGTTAGGCTTGGTGGGAGCTTAATACCATCCTATCACTTCTACTTGCAGGAGTAAGCTATCAAGCACTTAATTAAGATCCCCCAATTCTTCTGGTGCATTCCAAATGAAAATTTTACAGCAGAGCCGCCTACTGTAAAATTCCAAGTACCCTGTCGAGGTAAGAATCTATGAATCTAGGCTGAACCGGCCAATGCGGAAATCCGGGTAGCTTTAGAAGACAGAAATCATTAGGCACGTCGGACCCTCAAAATATCTTAAACCAAGTCCGAACAAATACACATCTCTTTATAAAGTAATTAGATGCGTCCCTCCTGTGCATAAGAAACAGTATTCAACTCCTCATTGGCCCCCTCAGCCCTTTTCTTCAATCCTAAAGCGGGGCCTCTAACCCCAGCACCAATACTAATGCTATCCCAAAAAATAGGAAGCAACCAAGTGGGATTCAGCACGCGAATCGAGAGGATGCTGCGGCCTAGCGTGAAGCAGGACTACCCTAACCCTCCCGTGGAGTTGGGCAGCACGTCCCCAGCGGAAGTAGGGTAGGTCTTCATTCTCCGGCGAGTCTCTACCGAATCTGAATCTGGTCTTTACTCTGGACTCTCTCACATTGCTCCCTGCAAATCCTGTCATCACACACACACACACACACGAAGACTGGCACTAAGGGCCCTGGCTTCTTGCGTTTAAGAGAGGCATCCTCCATACGAAGAAAAAAAGACCGCGCGCCCACCAGTCCGGAACGGTGGAAACTCCCTTCGCTTACCCCGCAACGCGTGCAACTCCCCCCGCAGGGCCTGAGCCGGGACCCGGGTGGGAGGAAGACCGAGCGGCCCAGAACTCCCGCTGCAGACCACATGGGGCGGGTCTGACTCCGGTTTCCCGCTCCCCGAGCAGGCGTCCGATTTCCCAAAGAGAAAGGAGATGCCGGGAGCCGAGGCCCTCTCCACGCAGACCCCCGGTCTCCCGGAGCCAGGGTCCGGATGCGCTCCCGCGCCCCAAGCCGCCCCAAGCCGGCCCTCCTCGTTGGGGCCCTCTTCGATCACCGCCCCGACGCCCTCTCTTTCCTTACCCGCCAGGGTTAGTGTCAAGTTTCCGCACTCCGAGGGTCTCGCCGAGATCTGATCAAGGAAAGGGGCAGGGGAAGTTGGGGTGAGGGAGGTAGTTGGAAAGGCCACCGGGCTGAGACAGCCAAAGCCACGGATGGTCAAACCGCCAAAGCACTTTCGCTGCTTCCCGAGAGGGAGAGAGCGAGCGAGAAAAAGAAGCAAGATGGCGGCTAGCCAGCCCCTACGTACTACGTCATGTCGCCGCCTACGTAAGGCAAATCTCCGCAAGACCGCCCTCCGGCGTAGAGGCAGCCGGATCATGTGACGCCTTCGTGGCTGCGCAACCTGGGCGGGAGGCAACACCGCCTCCTACTGGTCGGAGGGAGTTCCTGCAATCCGAGTTATGGCTGCAAGACAAAGCTTTTAACCTGGGAAGGTTCCAGAACTCGACTTGACCGCGATTACAATTGGTATGCCTCAGTGAAATAAGTCCTGGTGTATTTGACAGATGGGTAATTAAAACTACAGACAGTTTGGGAGGATGTCCTTAGTGAAGAAGGGATGCACTGAGATGGCATGGTGTACAGGAGTTTGCAAAGAGTCAAGTTATCTTAGAGTGAAGAAGTCACTTCCCTGTGAGAAATAGGACTGGCATGCTCTGCTGAGGGCACTGACATTTGTGATTATACATGTAAAATAAGCCATATGATTTCTTTGGTAGCGCTAGGTACACAGACGATGGACGGTAGGATTCACCCATGCTGTCAGGTGTAATGTGGAGGGGTGAAGGCATCTGGAAGTGAGTGGCTGTAATAATGGTAACACTGTATCTGAGGGCTGGGGTGTATCTCAGTGGTAGAGTTCTTGCCTAGCACCTAATTTCAAGACCCTGGGTTTGATCCTCGGCATTCTTCCTCCCCCCCAACCCCCCGCAAAAAAAAAGAGAAGGAAAATATTATATTCCAGCATATGGTGAATGTGTAGTGTTTAGTATTTGTTCACTTTATGAACTATTTATGGCATATTTTAAATCCCAGAATTCCTTGACACCTATCCTGATCTAAGTGATCTTCCCTATCAGTAGCTGGTGGAATGGAATTGTCACTGCAGTAACGTTAGAATAAAGAAATTAATACAGAGAGATAAATCACAGGCACATACAAACACACACACACACACACACAACTGATGTTGGTGATCATTTGTTTTGTTTTGTTGGTGTGGTAGGGCCTTGTGTATGTTAGAGCAAGTGCTTTAACACTGGAATATATACTTTGTCCTCTTAATGCACATTTGAAATGGAAAAAGCTTGGCTGATTTATACAGAAGCAGTACTTGGTAAATTTCACACAGCCTTCTGGAATTCTGTTGTAGAGTGTCCTGGTCTTGAAATGTCTTTCTTGAGTAATGTAAAATACCTCTGGTAATTAAATCAGTTTACATTAGCTAAGGTCATGAGACTGACATATACAAGCAGAATATTGATGTATTAATTTCCAAGAGCTATAATTTATTCACCTGAGTACTCACAACTGCAAAGCTAGTGTTTTTTCTACATAAGTAAACTGACTCAGGAAATCAAAGTCATCATGAGAAGGTGCTGTTTGAGCACAGATTCTGAATAAGTGGTGTTATATGTATAGACTTATTGAGTCATCTGTTTCCACAAGACAATTTTTGTCCCAAAGGTAGAAGTATGTACTCAGTTTCTAGCGACTGCAATTTTCTGCATTGATCTCCAACATAGTAGGGATATCCAGCTATGTTCTTGATTTAGGCTCCTTTTCTCCTTGACAACACTTAGATGGCTACTGGCCCTGAATGGCCCCTGTATCTTTCTTTCTCTGTTTCCATGGCTACCTCTTAGTGATGTTCTTTCAATAAAAATCAAGTTACAGTTAAGCCAGGCCAGTTTGTGCTCTAGAGGTGATTTTGCTTATTTCTACTTTTATCCATGGTATGTAATCTTAAATTTTAACTCTTGGATCAGTCTTAGTTCTCTTATTTTCAGTTTCTCAGGGGAAAATCTGAAGGAAATCTTCATGTATTGGTATAATGCCAAAAACTAAATAAATACATTTAAGATTTTACTTTGTCTTGGGCTATATGTACCATGCCTAACACACAATCAATGTAGAAAAATTTGCTATAACAAAGATCTCACAGCAAATTAAATGTAAACGTGTCATTTAATTTCCAATATGGTTTTTTTAAACAATATTTTTAGGGTAACATCAGATTGTTTGTTGGTGGTATGAAATCAGGCACCTAGTTTCTTATTGAAAACAAACTGATTCTCCAGACAATGTGACCTGTTTTCTTTGTGATTGCACAAGATCACAAATGAATTAACTTTCTATCTTCTCATTGGGATTAGTACTATAAATAGGAATCAGTAGGCACTAGAGATTTATGGGATAGTCGGTTGCAAATTAAAAAATCAAGGAAGGCATTAGACTTTATTGATAATAGTGTTTCTTAAATGTTTATGTGCACTGACAATGACCTAGCAAATCATAGTTAGTAAAACTGAATCATGATGAGCCTGGTATAATGAAAACCATAATGTCCAAACACTGCATGAAAATATAACCTCTTTTTGTTAATGTCAACAGATGTTATAAGATTGCAAATAAAGCTAAGAACAATATTGTCAGTGCTTCAAAAAGTTAATTTTTGTGAATTTGTAAGAAGTCATGTATTAAATTTATTTAAATGTATGTTATATGTAAAATTTTGCCTTATGTATGAAGAGGGATAAATATTTTTATTTACCAATTTGTTATTAATTGGCTCAGCAAAGGTTTTTTTTGTTTTGTTTTGCTTTTGATATGGTGTCTTGCTACGTATACCAGGCTGGCCTCAAACTCATGATCCTTCTGCCTCCACCTCCCAAGTGCTAGAATTATAGGTTCATGTTACCACACCCAGCTGGAAATAACATCATACCCAGTTGCAGACTTGCAGACTCTTTTTTTTTTTTTTTTTGCAGTACTGGGGTTTGACTCAGGGTTTTGCACTTCAAGCAATCTACTGCTTGAGCCTTGCTCCCAGGCCTTTTTATTTATTTGTTTGTTTGTTTATTTATTTATTAGATTCAGTTTGTTTTTAAACAGGGTCTTGAGCTTTTGCCCAGGCTGTTCTCAAATTGAGATCTTCCTATCTGTACCTCCCATGTAGCTGGGATTACAGATGTATACCTAGTTCTTGCCAATTTTCTTTTGACAGTTGTGAAGTGGTATTGGGTTTGAACTTAGAGCCTTGCACTTGCTAGACAGGCACTTTACCACTTGAGCCATTCCTCCAGACCTTTTTGTTTTATGTTATTTTTCAGATAGAGTCTCACTAACTTTTTGCCTGGGCTGGCTACTAACCACTGTCCTCCTGATCTCCACCTCCTGAGTATCTGGGATTACACCAAGCCTGTTGTGCAGACATTTTATAATTGAATAAAAGATACCTTTTAACTGAAGGTGTTATTTGTTTGTCATGTCACAAGTTAATAAAGTCCAAATTAGCTGGGATTTACTGTCCACCTAAAATTTTCCTAACATTTTCTTAGCTGAGAGAAACTCAGTTCTTAGTGCTGTGGGTACCAAGTTAAGAAGGTATAGTGTTTGTTAGTAGGCAGAGAACATTACCTGGTATGTTTAGTCACTTGGGGAGCTGGAGGAAGAAGGGAAGGGAGGGAGGAAATGGAGAAAAACTTTGTTGGTTCATAGGTTTGCCCTAAGGCTGGCAGTTAAGTTCTCCTGGGCCAGGAAGTGAGTAATAGTACAAGGCACAGATCAAGAGGAGAAGAACAAAAGGAGAAATGGTTCTGGTTCTTAAACACAGAACAGAAAAATGTTACAAAGCGAAATAGCCAGGTGGTGATGGGCAGTGCAGAAAAGGTAATTTCTTAATTTTTTTAGGTCAGAAAACAGAAACGTGAGTTACTGCTGAGGAATATAAACACAGTAGTCAATAATTATTTTTAAAATTGCAATTCTAGCTCCTACTTCTAGCATTCCTCAAAGTATATGGCTCTTATACTTATTTCCTTCCCCAACCAATTGTAAATGCAATTTATAAACTACCCAGTAATTAAGAGAAGTAACTAAATATTCTGAATACTATCTAGTGGAAGAGAGAATTTCATGTGCTTACAAAGTAATCTGTAGTCCACGATTAGTTCAGCTTTGTTTGTATTCTCTCTTCTTATTTCTACTGGGGTTAATTAAGTCATTATTGCTGAAATATTTGAGTTGCTGAGAGACTCAGTGAGATAATTGCTTCAGGTGGGAATTAGTACAGTGCTCAATGCTATGCACCATGATTAACTTCATATGGCACACAATCTTGGAGGAAGAAGAGACAGCAGGAATAGTGACTAAAATAAAATTAAAAAGTGTCTCAAGTATTTAGCATGTAGAGTAAATTGCATTAAAATGGAACAATTCATTTCAATATTCAATATTACCTCTGTGAAACTTTTATTGGGAAGTGTCAATCACTATAATGATTAATAAAATAGTGCCACCTATTGGCTTACATGCGCCATGCCACCTGCCCAACCTTAAGAAGATGGTGGGGGAGTGACCATCCATCCCAATTTTCATGGCACCCCTCCCCCCGCCCCGGTTTTAGCACAGAAAGTCCCATGACCAGGGAACTTTTTGGTGCAGAGTAAAGCAGGAAAGCTGGTCACCCCGTGGTGTCTACAATGGAGTGGAGATATAGATTGTGGTCTCAAGCTTCTCTTGCATTAAAATCTCCTTTTGAAGCTGGGCACTTGTGGCTTACATCTGTAATCCTTGCTACTTAGGAGGCTGAGATTGGGAGGATCGAGATTCAAGGTCTGCCTGGGCAAATAGTTTGTGAAACCCCCCAACTCCAAAATAACAGAGTAAAATGGACTGGAGGTGTGGCTCAAGTGTTCCCTGCTTTGCAAGTGTGAAACCCTGAGTTCAAACCCCAGTCCCACCAAAAAAAAAAAAAAAAAAAGTTTTTTTTTAAATCTCCTTTTGGCTTCTACTATCTGCCTGAGAAGACGGAGAGCACTAATAGGAAGGGAGCCTTGTCTGGTAACAGACAAGGCATATTCATTCTTGGGGACAGAAGGAGGTCGGTAAGCCAGACTGCAGAGAACAGAGAAGTTATGCTTGAGCTGTCCCTGGCAGCAATTGGATGTGCTGCTACTGAGTCTCTGAGCTGTGGTTGTTGTATTAACTTCTCCTTTGCTGTAGCTCCA